TGTATATTTTTGAAGACTTATGACAACCAGCACAAACAAAGACGCGCACATCATGAGGAAATATCCTGGGATATTTCATTTTCTTCTGTTTGCCTAGTGTCTCACAGGGCAGAGAGACAACCATTCACACCTACGGCCAACTGTTCAAACCCAGGACCTTCTTGCTATGAGGTGACAGTGCTACTGCAACTTCTCCACCAGTGTCCCATCATTTTTGGAGGTCTAAGCTGTTTTATTGGATAAGTGAAAACACGATTCTAGCGGTGCTATAAGACTCACCAGGAACCAGGATATAATGCACATTTCATGGCAGTCCATTTCACATTAGTAGTTAGCAACCTCATTATGGACTAAAATTAAAAGACAAAGATCACCAAATTCACTATTCATCCTCCGAGGATCATGTTTTAAAGTTTTTATTCAATAGTTTTTAAGGTTTTCTGGATTTCTTCAGTTGTTGCATGAATTTGGGAGGTCAACAAAAATGATTTCTTTGTCTTGTAATCAGTATTTGAAGCTGCGCTGTTTTAATATAGTATTGTTTTACTGCTGCTGCCCAAAGCCAACATCACAAGCACGTGCCCCCAATGACTCTCCACTCAGTTCAATCAGTCATTTATGCCCTGTCATTATTTATTTTATTTTTTCCGACGCGGAAGCTGAAAGGGCACCGAAAGAGTGGAGGCTCAGGTGAGTGCAGGTCTTATCTATACCCTCCAGCTGTGTCCCAGTTCCCCATCACTGCCTCTGGTAACAGGAATTTAGTTCAGAGTTTAAAATTAGTCCGGGCATCTATCATTTCCCACAGGCTGAATAGGTTGGTATAGGTGCCCTGGCACAGGTAATCTGTCTCCACACATCAGTCTGTCCCGCCTCACAGCGCCATCACTCAAACACGGTGCCTTGTCACTGACGACAGAGCCAGTGCCTGCGGAGAAGTGAAATATTGCTGTAGGATACATAAGCAAACATTCAGGCAATTGCTTCAATGCATGTTCTGTGGCGAGCGTCAAAAGAAAAGAGGAAGCATCACTTTGTATCCAATGAAACGGAACTGAAAAGACGCTATGAATTAGTTATCACTGTTTAAGATATCCCCATGACCCTGATCTGGATATGCATTCAGGAAAATGGACAGATGATTGTTTAATAAGTACAATTAAGAACTAATCGAAAATATCTGATTGCGTTACATATTTTACAGCTTAACACCCAAAATGTACATGCAAATTTTACAAAAGAATTACGAAAAAGGAAAAAAAAATTCCTTAAGAGTGGCTTCTTACTGAGGCCAAAGCTGCAAGAACAGAGCTGACATCACTATAAATCTAACCCTATTTAAGAGCTGGAGTGTCTGAACACTGGAAAGGAGCTACAACAGATCAGCTGGAGGGCACAAAGCAGCTGCGCTAACACAAGACAGCCTATCTCTCACCTGCTGTGGACTGACTGGGTTAATATAGCGTGACATTACACACGCACCTCATTTTGTTGTACCAGGACAGACTGGAATAACACAGCTGAGGTCCAACATTTGTAAACATTGCTTTTTTTTTTTTTAGATTTCTTCTCTTTTAAAGATTTTTTTTTTAACATTGAACTTCATTCAATCTGCATGTTTCCAATTACTCCATGTTTCTTGCTGTGGCTGTGAAACCTTGACTTTCACTTGCTTACCTGTTACAGCAGATTATAGCTGTAAATATTTCCCCTTTTGTCAGATATATCCTGTTTTTGAGGGGGTTTTGTCTGTTTACGCTGATGGGACAAGAGTCATCTTTAGAAAATGTTGCCGGAGGTGTGACACCAAAACAGTCGGGATTCTCCGATTAGATGATTCGAAACAGAATCAAATGCAGTGGCTGAAGAATGTCAATCTAGCAAATGTGGATTTGCATCCACGTCCTTAATTCAGTCCTGCACTCAGGATTGAGTCAAATTCAGTCCACATTCCCACACTTACACATTGTCCCCCCCATTACCACCTGACAGAGACACTAAGTGATCTGACCCGTGCTCACTCCACATGCAGCGCACAGCTTATTGGTGTTTCCAGTCGCGGCTGCTGATATTCACCAGCACTGGCAGAGGTGTTAGGGTCTGTGGAAGGTGTAATGTTTATCGATCGTGGTGCAGGACTTGGGTTAAGGGTCCGGTCAGTCTTGGCTATCACTCCGGAGGATTTCTTCCAATGCTGTCTAAGAGCTTGCACCCCCTACCCACCCACCCACTTTTAATCAATAGCTCATTAGTGTGTTTCTTCACACAGCAGTAAGGGCAAAGAAAACAAAGGTCATCTTCTATGATAGATCTGACTCCTAATGAAATTTGCTTCATTTTGAATGAGATCTTGTGCTCTCGGGTCTGTTGTGTGTTGTCTGAATATAAAAGCTCATACATGCCTTGTAAGATTTCTAAATAATTAGTCTTCACACCCAGTTAGCAGTTCAAAAAAAAGTTCAAACTTGTAATGTTCATAAGCATGCATTCACACACAAAGGTCTATTAACAATCACTTACATCAAGCAGCTTTTTTTATTACTCTAATAAAATATATGACTGCCTTATACCAGGGAATTTGCTAATGCTGTAAACAGTGGCTGATCTTTATGCTCTCATTACTGGTTGACCTTTGTGTCAAATAATTTTATATAGGTGCGTGAATGTTTTTTAAGTGGCTTAATAGTGTAGTTGTTCGCAAATTCGCCTAACAAGAAAAACGTCCCAGCTGAATCCTGGGAGAAGACACAAATCCATCAGGGTTGCATCAGGAAGAGCAAAGGGAGAAGCTAAAAGTAGCATCGTCTATGTATTTCAAAAGTATTACTTATAAACACAATTGATGCCATGTTACAAATCAGCTTTAACTGCTACAATCCAAAGGCAGCAGGTTCAGCGGGTTCTTGTAAACAAACATATTTATTCTCAGATTCGTTAAATTAATGAAGACTAAACTTCTAAACTGAAGATTTATCAAACCCAGAGTGTAACAAAAATGAAAAAAAAAGTAGGAACTTATTGTAATACTGAACAAATCCTGTTTAAAATCAATATAATAATATTTAACAATGTGAGTTTTTAAATATGAATTTGTTCACCTAGCACTAAATATGTTTTAAAATGGCGTTTATTCTCAGATAATTGTGTTTTACTACAAATATGTCGTAGTAAGTACTGCATAGACAATTCTTTTTCCCCCCGTGTCTTTTGATTTATTCTCTACTGCAGCCACACTTGTCTGAGGCCGCAGGTGTTAGCGCCACGTGTACTTGTAGACACCATAGTTCTAATTCAAGCATTCGTCATCATTTTAATTCTTCTGCTATTGTTCAAGATCACTATTATTATCCTGATTATCTATATATGTATAAAAAAGAATAGCCTAGTTAATTAGAGGGGATGGTGCTTTTTTTTTTTCATTTGTGCTCCTGCAAGGTTGTCTCTCCTTTAAACGGGGGCACGGTACCTGTTTTCTGTCCCATCCCTGCTGACACAGAGAAATTGTTACGTGTGAAACAATAAGACCACTGATCCTTTTCAAGGACAAACTGCTCATAGACTCTACAGTCTCTCCAGGGAGGTTAATGACCGGTGCCTTTCCATCCTTGCCCCTCTTGTGTTTTCATGCTCAACATTACAGGAGTAGCTGTTCTCATTTGCCAATGAATGTTCATTGAGGCTGTCTTAATTGCCCAAATAGACATATACTGGATAATAACAGTGCTGCACAGCAGGAAACACCGGGCCACTGAAAAGCAGGTATGCAAGCTGTGCAAGTATTAACGTGTTTCAGCCAAAACTGTTGGTTTGTCCTGGGGATAAATGTAGCATTTATAATTGTAGGAAGTGTGATTTCCTTCTGGCCACCTCAGGGTGAAAAGACAACTCCCTCACAACTGTTTCAGCTGTGATGTAACTGGTTTAACATGAAAACACGAGTGAATACAGCAATTGGCGTGTGTCTGGAACAATTATGTTGAGTCGATCTGACGTTAATTCCTCTGGGATTAAAGTCAATAAATTGTACGATCACTGCCAGAAGTTTTGTGCTCCAGGTGAAGCTAATAAAAGGGATTTTTCTTGTTAACCTGCCAATGTAGACTTAAATGCGGGAGGCACATTTAAAAATACACCTTTGAGTGTGCAGAAAACAGCACACTTAAAAATAACTCGGCCTGTTTTGTTGTTGGTTTTTGAGCTCACACAATATGAAGGTCAAGGCGTAAAATCCTGCAAGCAGTTGTTCCGCAACATGTGTTGAATATAAATACTGTATGTTGACACAGTGTTTGGATTTTGTGGTGAATGTAGGGTAGACTGTAGTACTTGTGTTTCTTCTTCCCTACTCTTTTGTCCACCTCTTTGTGGAGAGTGTTATTGTTCTAATCTGAAGCATTGAGGCGTGTCGGTTTCACAAACTAATATTTTAGAGAAAAAGCCTGCGGTCTATGGTTAAGTCATTCACAATATGAAAAACAGAGATGTAGATTTGCGGCATTACTTATTTCTTACCATCATAGAAATGCCATTGTTTGCCTAACCCTTTGCTTTGGAGCCTTCCACTTCCTATTTTCTATGTTTGTGTCATATGGTTGCAGATGCAGTAAATTCCCAACTGAAACCTCCCACGCTACGTCTCTGTTATCTCTACTGCTCATGTTACACAGATATTCTCTTTTGCTGACACAGCAGTCTGTCAAAGTGATTGTTGGATTAAAAAGGTCAGATTTTTTGTCCTTTTTACAGCTGTTGTGTGATCACTCTGAGCGATAACGTAATAAACCTCTGAAACATGAATTATGACTTTGATATTTGGAGACCACACATAGTGAATGCTTCCTGGTTGAGTTCAAAGTCTAAAACTGTGGCAGCACTGCCCCCATGTGAAATCTCAGCAAAGAAATCTTCCTGTTTAAAAAACCAAAAAAAAAACTTCCTCAGCTTGAAGTAGTCAGGAATAATTTCATTTACAACAACAATAACAAGAGTAAGAGACAACCTTTTTTTTAAATCTCAGATTTATTTCATTTGGATTTATTCGATGTTGTTTGCAGCAACACTCAGTCGTGTCGCTTTACAAAATAAATCTGGTTTAGTAGTTTTAGTCTGAAGGCAAAACCAAGCAGGGAAAAAATGAACAGAACAGTAAAAAACCAACAACAAAAAAAGAGCGAGACAATAACCAATCAGTTCAAAGTTTAACTGTAAACATGTAAAGACACAAATTTCAAACTCCTGTATTTTTTCCAGTGATCAGATCTGGTCAGTGACTTGCTCTTCTTCCTGACACGATTTTAAAGGTCTTTCCTTGCCTAGTTTTTAGCACGCCATTTTTTATTTATTTATTTTTCTCAGGAAGTCAGTGCAGAAAGAAACGAAATGATCCCTCGCTAACTGACCAGAGCCTTGTGTGTTAAAGGCTAAGAATCCCTTCAGAAACTCCTGCTACAATGTTGTTGAACAGAACAAAGTCAAGAGTTTCTGTGTTAGGAATCACAGATTTTGGGGGCATATTCAGCACTCTGGTTGAACATGTTTAACAGCATTGAATAGCACCATGAAAAAGCTAGAGATTTAGAGTAAGTTCAAGAGTTTCTGAAGGGAAAGGGGGACGGCTCTCCTTTTTCGAAAGACTTCAGAAGTATCTTCTGCTGCTGACAGATGACACTGTAGACTTGGTGATGGCACCACCGCTACCATAACCACCGTAGGAATTGGACAGTCCTGGAGAAGAAAGCAAAGCATGAATGTAAAGTGATGATCCATCCTCTCTATATCATCTATTAGCTTACGTTTTATACATGATTTTTTTTTTTTTATAAAAAAACTTACCACCACTGCTCTGCTGCACATGGATGGTTGCACTGGCGCCTCCGCTGGCCAGTCTAATGGTTTAATAATAGAGAGTTAGTGTTTAATTTAGATACGAGTCTAATGCATGGGTCATGAAACTAAACAATTCAGTTTATCTCACCTGGATTCCTCTCCTTCCAGCAGTTTCCTGTAGGTGGCGATTTCAATATCCAGGGCGAGCTTGACGTTCATGAGCTCCTGGTATTCGCGCACCTGGCGGGCCATGTCCTGCTTGGCTTTCTGCAGAGCCTCCTCCAGGTCCCTGATGCGGAGCTTGGCGTCTTTCACTGCCAGCTCACCGCGCTCCTCGGCTTCTGCAATCTGAGCCTCGAGGTTGGCCCTCTGTGGAGAATCATGTCACGCATTCTTTAATAGTTGCCAATCTTTTTACACTATAAGGTGTACTCAGAGTAAAAGGCCTTGAAATGTACCTGTCCCTTGACAGCCTCGATCTCATTCTGAAGACGGGCAATCATACGGTTCAGCTCAGCGATTTCAGCCTTGGTTGTGCGCAAGTCATCACCATACTGTCCAGCAGAGGTCTGCATTTCCTCATACTATTATGAAAAAATACAAGGTGCATCAGAAACATAATCCAGAGAGTAGACCTTTTGTAGTGTGTATTAAAAGCAGAGAGGGGATGAGCATCAGCTTTGCTCCCTCACCTTCTGTTTGTACCAGCTCTCAGCTTCAGCCCTGCTGCGGTTAGCAATGTCCTCATACTGAGCACGCACTTCAGCCACAATAGCATCCATGTCAAGGTTGCGACTGTTGTCCATCTCCACAATGACAGAGGTGTCCTTGATCTGGCTCTGCAGCTCACGAAGCTCCTACAGAACAAATTGTTTATGGAAAACAGTTAAGTTAAAAACAATTATTATGGTGCAAAAAGAGAAATCACAATAAGTTGGTTAAATTAGACATTAGAAACTACATACAGCCTCATAGATAGCCCTGAGGAAGTTGATTTCATCCTGAAGAGCATCCACCTTGGCCTCCAGCTCCACCTTGTTCATGTAGGCAGCATCAACATCCTGGAAATGATGTCACATACAAACAAAAAACGGTCACTTTTACCACATCAAAAGTCACACATTTTTTTAAAAACTTAAAGGGTCATCTTGACATTTTCCCACCTTCTTCAGGAGCACAAACTCATTCTCTGCTGATGCACGCTTGTTGATTTCATCCTCGTACCTGTTGGAACACAATGCAATACATCAGCACCTCTCCATTTTTTATGTCTGGTCTTTAGAGGAGGTGCTGGTCAGTATATGTGTCATGTAAACACTTACTTATTCTTGAAATCTTCAACCAGGCCCTGCATGTTCCTCAGCTCTGACTCCAGCTTGACCTTCTCATTACCCAGCCCATCGAGCTGCCTGCGGAGGTTGGCAATGTAAGCCTCAAACATGCCGTCGATGTTGGAGCGGGTGGTGGTCTGTTGCTGCAGGAGGCTCCATTTGGTCTCCAGCATCTTGTTCTGCTGCTCCAGAAAACGCACCTGGAAAACAGCACAAAATTTAAGACAAAAGATCAGATGCTGATCATTTTCATGTGTTTTTAACGTTGAATCATATATGAATGTGGCTTGAGGTCTGCTTGGTGGTTTGGTTCTTTTAATTTTTAAAGAAGGGTATAATGTGCAGCACTTTTGTTATCAGATATAAAGATTGCACAACTTTACTGAGTGAGCAGCTAGACATCTATTTGACTTGCCACGCCCCAGTCACAACAGCTGTGACTCGTGAAGGCAGTTCTTCAAATGTACACTAAAAGTGTTAAAGTAAACTTTTAGGCCTTTTTATTTTGGAACACGTATCATTTTATCTTTTCCTTTCTTTAAATAATGCAGAATATTCCATGCAGATGTTTCGCCAACGTCTGCGTGGCCTTGAGGATTTCTCTTATTGGGTCTGCAATTTGGCTATGAGTCATCCTACGTGCATTGTTGAAAGCCACACTGGCTCTCCAGCCATAAAAACTGGGTGTGGCAGTTAAACCACAGAAGACAAAGAATTGCAGCACTTGTTGTTTTGTGTGTCCGAGTGTCAAGGTATACCATTTACAGTTTCACACGAAGAAACCCATGACCCATAGTTCCCATCAGTGCAGACAGTATGACTGTAACATCTATATGAAGTAAAGGCTGATTTGCAGCTCTGTCCTCGTGTTGCCTATAACAACCAGGTGATAAGTGCAATGTGCAAATTGCAGACTTTGGACTATGCAGACAGAGTGCAGATAATTCCCTGTTCCCTGTGCTCGTCTGCCAAGTGAGGAATAGGCGAGTCGTTGCATTGTAATCGCCACCCATGTTTAGACAGTGGATAGATAGGCTTGGACGGGGCTATAAGCCAGCTGTTATTCAGAGCAGATTTTAAATGGAGCTGCTAGTTTAAAATCAACTCTGTCATGACCTCTGACAGAATTGAGGTTTTCAAATGCTTCTCTAATCGCAAAGGCTGTAAGACACTGGTGAATACACCACCCAGATAAGAGTCACAACTGCCTTTCTTTGTCAGTTCTGCTAATGTCAAGAGCATATTTGCATTTTGAGTGTGGTACTCGTCTGAAAACAGATTGCCATTAGTGTGCTAGACAATTCACTTACTTTTAACTTTCTAATTCTTTTTGTTTTCATTCACATATCCAAGATGAAAACTTTGAACTATTCACGTGTAGCAGAAGCAAGAGATAAATCTGGCCCAAGAGGCATGCAAGTTCTCTGTACCACAATAATGAGGCCTGCAGTAAATTGTACATAGAACAGGCAGTCAGACAGAGAGATCAGAGGAACAAACCTTGTCAATGAAGGAGGCGAAGCGGTTGTTCAGGGTCTTGATCTGCTCCTTCTCCTGGGTGCGGACAGCCTGGATGGTGGGGTCGATCTCCAGGTTCAGAGGAGCCAGCAGGCTCTGGTTGACTTGGACAGCAGTGATTGGTTGTCCAAGTAGTGGTTGGCTAGAAAGGCCATAACTGCTTGATGCACTTATGCTAGGAGTAAAACCCGAACCAACACCCCCATATGTGGTTCTCTTGATGGAGTAGGAGCTTGAGGTGGGAACCGACCTCCTGCTGCTGCTGCTGTAGCTCACTACTGATGCTGCCTTCCTGGGTTGATACATTTTCAACTTGTTGAGCAGAAGCAAACTGATGCTGAGAAGTCTTCAAAAGGAGAGCCAAGTCCCTCTGAGTGTCTGACAGCACACTCTCGCTGCTTTTATGGCTGTACAAGCTGGTGGGAGGATCTTCACCTGCCCTCTGAGTTTGGCTTTCAAGCCTTCCCTCCACCTCAGCTTACACACTTCTTGCTCTCAATGACAGGAGTGGCCAGTCTTGTAAAACAGGTAGGGAGGGATTGTCAGGGAGATAAGCCTGGACACACCCTGCAACAGGACAAGGGAGAAGGAGCAAACAAGTAACGCAGAGCCAAGTGAAGTGGAATAAAAAAAAAACAACAAAGAAAACCTTTTATGTATTCTCTATGTTTATTATTGCATCCACTGAAGCAAAAGATAAAAATTAGAATCACAGTCAAAATATATCACAAAATACATAAACTTATACACTACCAACACACATGTAGTCTTGATATGTACATTCTTTCATATAAACTAGCTTTCTCCTCTCTTATCAAAGCATGCACATATATTCCAACCACTGACAAACAAATCACCAAAGTAATACTAAGCTTTACTCAAATTATGACTCTTTGTCTCATTACTGCATTCATTATGTACTGTCTATTTAGCAGATGCAATCAGGTTAATATATTTAAGTGTGACATGTGTCATGCTGCACATACCATACTTTTCCTTTGCTAAATTTATATGGCAATATCTTACATACCATAACAGTTACTGATTAGTTCTTAGTAACACCTTAACATAAAGCACTGGATCAGACCATACAATGGTCCAAAAGTTGTAAAAAAACAAAAAAAACAACCCATCATTATACAGTGGGGCAAAAAAGTATTTAGTCAGCCACCGATTGTGCAAGTTCCCCCACTTAAAATGATGACAGAGGTCAGTAATTTGCACCAGAGGTACACT